TCTAGCCTGTATCCGAAGCATACTACAAATCCTTCCAAATAACCCGCCCAAGCATACGTTGGATACAACGGCTACCCCATGCATAATTCCTTGACCGTTTCACACCCCTCACCAACCGTTCACTTTGTATTTTTATCCAACCCTGTTGCACTGTCAATAAAAAATCTCAACATATCGGCACAAACAAACCCCAATTTCCTTCCCACTCCACCATTTTACGTGCCTACCTCCAAACTCTTCCTACTTTAGCGCCCCCGCTACACCCCCCTATCCCCATAAACCTCCACTTGATATATCCAGCCATTACGCACAGTCCTAAAGGCAACAAACCTAAACCCCCTCTCCGAACATCCGTCAAACTACCTCTTACTCTAACAATGCCCCCCAAATCCCCACACAAACCTTCAGCACCCCCTCTGCATTTCCACAATATCTCGTACCTCTAAGGGGAAAAACCTCTGCCACCCCCCCCCATACCTTGCTATAGACAAATGAATTAACACTAACTACCCTCTGATGTAAAGCTAAGTCCCTCGCACTTAAACCTCCTAGTCACTTAAAACCTTACCCGTGACAGAACTCCTCCGAATTTACCCTTCTGCATGCCTAGCACTTCCGCAAATACCATATCCCACATACCTTGATTCCTCTGTCAACCCACTGTTCCATCCTAAAACCCCTACCCCAAGCCCCCCCCCAATCCAATTACCACCTCTAGTAACCTTGATATTCACCGTATAAACCTCACATTTCCGGAATTCATAAACCAAACCATCTGAATCACTCAACCCACCCCTTAACTCTCCTTACCCTTAAGCAAAACAGCAAGTACAGCCACATACCCAACGAAGCCCCCTTTGCACCCCCCCCTTCCTTCTCCTGATTGTTCATTACCCTCTCAACAGACTATAAAAAGGATCCTGCAACACACCAAACGAGCAAGCTGTGACATCGGACAGCCCTGTCCTCCCCTCAAACTCTCTCCATGGTACACTTCACCCAACCTCCCATTTACCTGTACCCTCACCTCTGCCCCATCCTACAGGGTGTTTTTCACACCCCCTCCACTAACCGCTACCCCCCTCCCATACCCCAACCTCTCTAACAAACCCCCCCCTAAGAAATCTCTTCCACGCAATCATAAGCATACACACCAAACTAAACCTAGTATTCCCCCTCCCCGTACATCTCACTAGAAAATCCCAAATCAAACCATGTCCAATCCCTCATTCTCTTCCGGAATTCCAACAGTCACCCTATGTTACACTAAACCCAACACATTCCTCATTCTGTTGCCCAAACCTTAGCAAAAATCTTTGTAATCCGAGCACAATAACGTAATCGCACGTAATCATTCAAAAACTTCTGCATTCCTTCTTTTTGGGACTAAAAACGTGACAACCCGATCTTTGTGATTTCCCCATCCTCCAACTACTTAACATAACAATTCCAAAAACCCACCCAACAAGCCGTACTCTCCCCCAAAGATACCTATAAAAATCGATTTGTATTCCGTCTATGCCTGGGGTCTTACCCTGGCACAACCCAAAAACTGCCCAATCCTTCCACCTCCTCTAGCATTAATACTAACCCTCGATTTCTGTCAACAGTCCTGCTCACTTTAATACCCTATAAACCCTCAATCGCCCAAACCGTCCCTCACCACCACTCCCGCCGCCAACCCACCTCCACTTCTCCCTAAACCAAAAAATCTCATAACAAACTAATATTTACGTGTGGATAGGCCTTGACCCTCCTCAAGCCACCCCCCCCTGTCCCTGCCTCAATATACGAACGCCAGGTGGTCTTCGCCTGCCGTTCCTTAAACCTTTTATTACAAAACCCGATGGCCTATCACCCCTTAAGACAATCCACTCAACCCAGCCTAACCTCGAATTGCCTCAAATTTTTCATTGTGAAATTCCCGCCAACCTATTTCGCAAACGTTCCATGTCCACACTCCGCCCCACACGTTCCTCTGCATAACAGTCATATTAACTGACCCTCAAGAAAATTTTTGTAGGCCAAAGCTCCACCTAGCCATCTCCTTACCCCGGACTTTAAAAAATTTCCCAAGTTCACTTTAGCCCTCAATTCCCACCAATCCAGCAAATCTATTTTCCATATTCCTTAGTCTCCCAAAAGGATTTCCACCCAACTTCAAACCCCGTAGGGTCAACCTGCACTTCCCCTAAGTAGCCACACAATAATTTCCAATATCCTGTAACATAAACTCTCACTAAGCCATCACCCCTCAAATCGCTATAACAGCACGAGAATCAAAAAACCCACAACGATAGTCCTCACCCTCTCCACACCTATCCCAGCCTAACATAAATTCCTATCAAACCGTGCCTCATATCCCCAACTAATAAAAGTGTGCTCCACTCCATATCCCCTACTTCCCACCACACTACCACTCTACCAACAACTCGCCCACCATCCCCGCAGAACCCCCAAAACACAACCCGCCCCCCTCGGAAACCCCAATCCCCTTCCTAATGACACAATTCCAATCCCCCCCATCAACCGTAAAAGCAGGTAAACCTCACAAGTGATATACCAGAACCTCTGCGTACAAAAATCCACTACACTCTAGTGTTACTAGTTCTGGCATGAGTACACAACCTACAAAACTACCCTCCTGGCCCCCAGAAACCATCACCCTGACCACCCTCCCACCACCCCCTCCTCCCTACCCAGGAAACGCAAAGGACTGGTCCCTCCTTTAACCGCCACACCACACCTCCTTTCACCTCAAAAGCATCACATGTAAACCACCCTAAAACATTTCAAACAACAACTCACAACCTAACCTATGGTTATGTTCCGCAAAAAACAGACATCAATACTAAATCCTCCTCAAAACCCACTCTAAAAACCAAACCCTCTTGACCTCGTATTAAGACCGTTGACATTGAAAGTTACGAACACAACCTGAATTATAAAGAAATGGCGGCTTACCCCTGTGCCGCTGATGCTACTGGTCCTCCTTCATAGGTCTCGGTTCTTCTCTATCAATCCCTCGTTTCCTGCCCTCCAAAAAAAAAAAAAAAAAAAAAAAAAAAAAAAAAAAAAAAACACAAAAACAAAACACAAAAAACAAAAAAAAAAAAACACAAAAAAAAAACAAAAAACAAAAAAAAAAAAAAAAAAAAAAAAAAAAAATAAAAACACAACCAACCAACAAAAAGAAAAAAAAAAAAAAAAAAAAAAAAAAAAAAACCCCTCCCTGTCCCTTCCCACCTAGCTTCCCAATCTGGTTGTTGGGGTGCCCCCCCCCCTCCACCCGACTTGCCTTTGCTACCACAGCTGCCCACATCTTCCCAGGCCTCTGCGCTGGGTGAGACCTCGTCCATGTCTGATGCCCCTGCTGATCTCTTCGGGAGCTACCCTCTACACACATTTCTCTGCAACCACATCTTGATGGACCTCCACCACCACATTTGCTCTCCTTTCGAACCTCACTCAAGTCTTCTTACCCTGCATCTGTTAATCCATCACCTTGTCATCACCTACCTCACATCACTAATCCACACCATGCCACCGCCTCTTCCAAAAAATCCTTCAGCACAGCTCCTAAATACCCGTCCTGGCTGACTCTGCATTATCTAACGGGCTGCCTGACAGCGATATTCCCTCCCCCCCCGTTTCCACTGTAGTGAAACACACTTCTCCAAAACCACCTCTGCCCAGCGACCTCCTCATCCATAGCCTGGTACCCCGGGCATTCCACTTCACCCGTCATAACATCCGTGGCATCTAATGGCGTATCCCAAAGCGTCTCCTGACGCCTAGGCCCCCTGTCTCCTGGGTGCATTGTGCCCACCATGTGCTCAAAAGAGTCACATAACCGTCACGTCTTCCTCTGCCCCGCATGTGTTACAAAACCTGATGTTCTATGGTTATGCAATGAAACATATGATGGTATCGGTCCCTCATGTCATTATCAGTGTTTAAGGGATCCTTCCACATCCCCTCATAAGGCCGTCCCTCCACATTCCCATGGCTCCGTCGAGTGTACAGTTCCAAACCCATGAACACATCATGTAGGCTGTATGCTGTTGCCACAAAAGGTACATTCCATACCTTCACTCCAAGTATAAATACTTAGACACATCATGGCAAGCATACATCACTGCCGAATTTATTACTCATCGTCGAAGTCAAGAAAATCATCTACGATGTAGAGTAGAAGTCGGCCCTCATGGAACATCACGAAGACCCTTGCCATTCCATTCAGTGCCACACCATACAGCTCTTCATTGGGGATGCCATAACAGTCCCTGATAATGCTTGGCAGGAGAACGTTCATCGTGTCGTTGCTTAAAGATCCTCTAACCAGCTGAATGCAGACAGTATTTATGCGCCGGTACAGTCGGTCCGCCATCTTGGAGCTAATGCTATGTTTTCCTCACCAGGTGGCGTGCAAGAGAACCTGTAGAAGCGTCCTCTCTCCCCGCAGGTCGAGAGACGAAACGCCTCTCCAGAGATCATTAATACTGTTCCCTGAGGAAGAACATTGTCTTCAGATAATTAACACTGCCATGAACATTGTCATCAGGCCATTAACGTTGTTCTCAGATTATGAACATTAAAACAGTTATTAAGCTTATTATCAAATCCTTAACACAGGTATTAACACTGTTCTGAAACCATGAACACCGTCCTTTGATCATTTTCACAGATATTAACACTGTCATGTTATTAACACATATTAACAGTTCTGACAGTGACTTTTTTGTGTTCTCTACACATATGTGTTCTCTACACATATGCTGCTATGTATGATAATCTATGTAACTGTATTTGTGTATACCTGAATAAACTTACTTACTAAACACAGTTATTAACATTGTTTGAAGATCATTAACAGAGGTGTTAACACTGTCCTAATATCATTAACACAGTTAATAAAACTGTTCTCACATCCTGAACACTGGCCTTAGTCATTAGAACATTTACTGAGACTGTTGTCATCCTGTAAACATTGTTCTCAGGCATTTATATTGTTTTTTAAACTGTTGTCATCTGATGAACACTGTCCTCAGGTTCACTGCTGTCATTGACAATCACGAGAAGCTGTCATCTAACACTCGCGTCATCCCTGTGACTGAGGTTCATTCCAACACTATGACTATGCTGATGGTAAGCTGTTTCGTCTTTTTCATCTTCCATTTTATTATGTCTTCTTTCTTTCCTCCTATACCTTCGACTACTTCTTCCTCTGTAATATCCTTGTCCTTCTTCCTTTGTCCCTGTCTTCAACATTAATCTTCTTCTTTCTCCTTCTTGTAATTGTATCTTACTCTATCTTCTTCTTCTTCCTCTTCTTCTTCTTCCTCTTCTTCTTCCTCTTCTTCTTCCTCTTCTTCTTCCTCTTCTTCTTCCTCTTCTTCTTCTTCCTCTTCCCCTTGTTATCGTACCATTCTTAGCAAATTTTTAATTACAGTTGTTTACTTATTTGACTCTTTTTAGAATGCATTTACTTTACAATGTCACTATAGTTTTCTAGAGCATCTCATTAGTATTATATTTTTTCCAAGAGTATCATACTCCTGGTATGTCCTTACAGGAGTCGGACAGGAAGTCCTTCCAGAAGCTAGTGGCTCGCATACAGCTCCTGGAACCTTCCTTCATCGACACAGCCAAATTTTTCGATGGTATCGCTGCAGGAAAGTGGGCTTTTGTAGGTGAGAGAGAGAGAGAGAGTATGGCACCAGAGACAACTGGTAAAACTGCACATACTTAGAGTCTCTGGCTCTGTACTACACCTCCTTTGTGATAACCATCAAGGTAAACTAAGAGCAATTCTCAACGAGACAGAGCCACCAAGACACTCTTATAGTTGGTTTAGAAAGACACGTAAGCAAACACTATGACATATTTATTAGAAAACGTTTCGGTCCTGGGACCTTGATCACTTGTTAGAAGTGATCAAGGTCCCAGGACCGAAACGTTTTCTAATAAATATGTCATAGTGTTTGCTTACGTGTCTTTCTAAACCAACTTGTCGGTATTTATTACCAAGGTTTATACCACACTCTTATAGTGCCTGTCTTCCACAATGAAGTGTGCTTAACCCATTGTTATAGAATGTCTGCTTCAGTGACGTTTTGTTCTTCAACAGTAATATCTTTCCACAAATATTTGTCTGTGACTTGACAGATACCGCGAGTTCATCTTACGGGCGAGCTCTCGACTACGAGAACGAGCGAGGTCGTTGCAGGTTCTACAAGTCAAGAAGTAGCATTGTTGGGGGTCTGGACGCCTGGCCCTTTCCCAGGAATTCTCCTGTCCACGCCACCTTATCTAAATCGTAGGTTTACGAACGTTTTCTGATACTGTAGTTGTGCTGAATGGATATTTGGTGTTCCTTTGGAGATTTGTTTTGAGGTCAGCTCCGTCAACTGATTTGACGTAAATGGTTTAGAGAACCGACAAGTTGAAGAATGAGACACATGGGCAACATTTTGGCATCTTAATTATGGAGACGGTTGGGCAACCAGTGGGTTCTTCAGTATAATGGACTGAAGAAGGCACTAACTAGCGAAACATTTCCACGAAATAGATTCCCATATGATGCATAATTGTCTCAGTTTTCCTGTCTATTGATGTTTAGAAATGCTTAAGTATTATTTTGTTGATGTGTGTCATATAATTGATGTTTACTGTTAGGCCGATGTTCATTCTTGTTGTTTGTAATGAATATAGTGATGAGTATTTGAGGAGGTAGATCATGGTAATGAATATGATATTGTGTATATGGACTTCAGTAAGGCTTTTGACAGGGTCCCACATCAGAGACTATTGAGGAAAATTAAAGCACATGGAATAGGAGGAGAAATTTTTTCCTGGATAGAGGCATGGTTGACAAATAGGCAGCAGAGAGTTTGCATAAATGGGGAGAAATCAGAGTGGGGAAGTGTCACGAGCGGTGTTCCACAGGGGTCAGTGTTGGGCCCCCTGCTGTTCACAATCTACATAAACGACATAGATGAGGGCATAAAGACGACATCGGCAAGTTTTGCCGATGACACCAAAATGGCCGTCGAATTCATTCTGACAGGACATTCGAGCACTCCAGGAAGATTTGAATAGACTGATGCAGTGGTCGGAGAAGTGGCAGATGCAGTTTAGTATAGACAAATGCAAAGTTCTAAATGTTGGACAGGACAATAACCATGCCACATATAAACTAAATAATGTAGATCTTAATATTACGGATTGCGAAAAGGATTTGGGAGTTTGGTTAGCAGTAATCTGAAACCAAGACAACAGTGCATAAGTGTTCGCAATAAAGCTAATAGAATCCTTGGCTTCATATCAAGAAGCATAAAAAATAGGAGTCCTCAGGTTGTTCTTCAACTCTATACATCCTTGGTTAGGCCTCATTTAGATTATGCTGCACAGTTTTGGTCACCTTATTACAGAATGGATATAAATTCTCTGGAAAATGTACAAAGGAGGATGACAAAGTTGATCCCATGTATCAGAAACCTTCCCTATGAGGATAGACTAAGGGCCCTGAATCTGCACTCTCTAGAAAGACGTAGAATTTTTTTTTTTTTTTTTTTTTTTTTTTTTTTATTTTATTTAAAAAACACAATACACAACATACATTTGTGCTATATTTAGATTACATAAACAAAGAAACATTATCCATTAAATAATAAAAACAAAACTCCACATTCCTTATCCCAGCACACACTCAACTATAAATGCTTGATTCCCCCTCCAAAATGCCCAACCAGCACACACAACATACATGTAACTAAAACCAGCCCACACCTGAACATACAGGTGCGTTTATTATATCCATAAACTACAGCCAGTCTCTTATAACACAAAAGACAATATAATCCAAAGAATGTCACACTTATTTACATTATATATGAAACTTTATAAACAAAGACATTCTCATATAATCCAATGCGTTACACTCTCATTAGTATTGTATATTAAACGTTATACACAAGGACATAATTACAATATAATAAAATTACAATATAATAAAGGTGACAAAATAGCCATTTCCACACCTTACCACAGAGAAACTAAACACTATTAAAATAACAAATATACACACTCATGTTACATAGCACATTATTATCATTGTGTTAACAATGCTTTGAGTGTTCCTTCTTGTAGTTGTCTCACTGACAAAGATCATTTAACCTTATTAAAACTATGATCATCAATGACCTCTTGTCTTTCAACACATGGTAAAACTAAAACATTCACACACAAGAAAACTCTCCAGTTTCACCACATCTGACATGTCATCCCCTCCCATACAACTCTCATGACAATCCTACCACAATTACATATCCTTCATTATGGTCATAACTCGCTCTAGAAAAGGAAAATGGTCCCTTAGTACTTAAGTAGCCAAATTACTGAGTCCCCTTACCGTTATATTTCTATATGCCTCCGGGAACGCAGTCGCCCACCTGTTACCATAAATGAGTTTTATTTCTGCATACTGTGCGATAAATTCCTGCCGCAATTGCCCTTACCCTAATCCCCCCCTCCTTTTTCCTTCAAGCCCCAGGAAATAAAACAAGAAATCTGTCACAATGTACAGAATGGCTCTTTTTACAACCTCAGACACCCCTCTTACCTCTAAAGTTAGGCACGCAGGAGCTCTACATTGCCCCCACCCATTAACTTGAAAACTCTAAGCCAGCCACACCCTTACCTGCCCCAACTCTCTACAAAAATATACTGCATGAAAAGCTGTTTCCGATCCTCACAATGTTCGCATTTCGCCTCCTTTACCAAACCCATCCACACAAAGCCTGCTTTGGACGCTAAAATCCCCATTACAAACCTATAAACTAACTCCCTTACACCCTAGGCATTAATTTAAGTTTCTGGAAATCATGCCAAATCGTACCCCAATCATACAAAGGGTATACCGCCACCCTTGCATCACTTCTGGTTTCCTACTCATCTCTACTAACCTTCCCACCTTGAGCTTTTTTACCTCACCTATTACTAACATGACCCTTAGCATATTCTCACATTCCATCAAGTCCTTTCCCCCCACCAACGACGTACATCCCTCATCACCCGCCCAACCCTCACCCCTTTTACCCCCCCCTCCCTTACGTACTTTTGTTTAACATACATTGCCTTGACCCTCGGCCCTACATCAAAAGCCCTACTCCCCCTCGGCGCACATTCGTCATAACCACCTCTTTACTTAGCCATGCTCGTCCAAAACCCCATATATAACGAAGCACCCTTCTCTGTATCTCCTTTATCTCCTGTTCCCGTAAAGGATACACCACTGCCACGTTCCACACCTTACTATAAACCAAAGAATTTTATTATTATTGCCCTTTGCATTAGAGTAACATCCTCGCTCTTAGATTCCTAATCCGTTGTACAACTTTCTCTCCCACTAAATTCCGAATTCCTCCGTCTAGCCTCTTGCTCATCTGCCATATAGATAAATCCCCACAATTTTCAGCTGTTCAGTCACATCCCATCCAAACTCCACCCCATTCTACCCCCCACCCAATCTCCTATCTCTAATAATTTCGATTTAGCTCTGTTGACACGCATGCCTGACGCCTCTCCAAAAAACCTCATTACTCTCTCCACCTTTCGCAAACCTTCGACATCATAGATCAGTATTGTTGTGTCATCTACATAACCAACTACCTCTGTGAACCCCTTACCCTCCTCCTGTAACGTTGTTGCTTCCTCAACCATTCCATAAAACGGGTGTTGCATACATGCAAACAGAATTTGAGACATAGGACAACCCTTGTCTCAAACCTTTCTCCATTTTCAACACGCTACCCAACCACCATTAATTTGCACCTGAATCGTAGCTTCTGCATACAAGGTCTTCACCCCATTTTACTATTCCCTCCCAAAACCCATAAGCCTTAAAGTGTCAACCATGTACTCTCTATTCACACCGTCATAAGCATTCTCCCAATCAATGCCCAAAATTCCACCACTCTTACAACCCTGCAAAAATTCCCTAATACACTATGTCCATCCCTCATACTACGACCCGGAATTCCAACTGACCCTTGTGCACCATACCACCTATTACCTTCTTCATCCTGTTCCCTAAAATCTTCGCAAAAATCTTATAATCTGTACACATTAAAGATATGGCCCTGTACGTGCTCAGTGTTCTCTTCCCCTCGCTTTTTTTCTTTACAAGCACGACCACACCCGTCCTCTGTGACGTTCCCAATTCCCTTCCTTCAGCATACAATTCAATACCTGAACCAAACAAACATTTATGATTTCCCAATGCACTCTGTAAAAAATCATTGGAAACCCATCAATTCCCGGTGCTTTCCCCCTTACTTAAATTGAACACTGCCTCTTTCACTTCTTCCATACTTATTATTCCCTCCAATCCCCCTCTGTCCTCCCCACCTTTCCCCAAGACCTTCACCCCTCCTCTTTCTTATTAACTAATCCCCACATACCTTTTTCCCATTCCTTTAAAACCAATAGTCCGCATAATTACTATATTCCCTCAGTTGTCACACCAACAATTGCCCCTTAGTATAACCTTCAAATCGTCACTAACCTCAAAAGTATTATATGGACTCCGTTTGTCTAATGCGAAAACTTCTTAACACACTACCCGACGGTTATCTCCCCATAGCACGGCATCCATACCTGCCCTTACCCTTAATTCATCAAATCTTTCATTATGTATGTCCCTTAGTCTCCCTCTTAGCCCTGATATTTCTTCAAAAGTCTTCCCTCATCTCTTGCGTAACACTCATTGAGCTGTTCCAATAATTCTGTAAAACGTACTCCACCTCGCCTCCTCCCTTCCTTTATATTTATAAAACCCCGCGATACCAGGTTTAGCCCTATTTTTCCCACCAATCCAAAATACTCCCTACCCCATCCCTTGCCCTCCACAATTGTCCCCACCAGTCTCTAAACTCTGCATTCACCACTCACTCCTCACCAACCTCGCATTTAACTTCCAGAAACTTGAATATACCTTTACCACTCCCTCCAATCCAGTTCTAAACCAAAACTGCCCTATGATCCGAAAACCCTACATCTACTGTTTTTACCCCTCCTACCCTAACTGCCTCCGTTATATAAATCCTATCTAACCTCGCTGAATAATTTCTCCTAACAAAAGTATAATCCACTCTCCAAGCCCCACTCCCCTCCACGTCCCTCACCCCTGCATCCCTGTAAAACATTGCGTAACGACCGAATACACAACCCGCCCCCCTTGCTCCACGTCCCCCCCCCTTATAACACAGTTCCAGTCCCCCCCTATTAAGTTTACTAGAGGTAAACCCCTTAAAAAATACACTAAAACGCTCTCACAAAATCCATCTTTTACTTTGATTATATCTCTGCTGGCATATAAACCCCAATGAAACATACTCTAGATGCTCCCCACTCACCATCCACCCTCACTACCCTCCCCCCCCCTTCTCCCACTTTATAATACGTAAGGGACCATTTTCCTTCACAGCCACTAGCCACTTCCCCCCTTTTAACCTAACAGACCCACTTACATACAATTTATAACCCTTTAATGCCAAAGCACAGCCTATCTTATAATATGTTCTTGTATAAAGCATACATCCACATTATATCTCCTCAAAAACCATTTCCATCCATACTCGTTTCACTTCATTCTTCAATCCATTTACATTACAGTTACTAATCGTGAATTATTTAAAAGTGGTGGTTTACCCTTTCTCTTGGCACACACCTCCTATACCGTCCTGTTGTATGGCATCTTTCTTGACAGCTTGCTTATTCCACCCCCCTATCCCTTCATTTATCCCCTAGAACCATTGAACCCTACATTACCCCTTCCCTCTTTCCCCTTATGACATACATCCTTTCTCCAAGATTTTACTCCTGTTCTTTGTCCTGGAGTAAGAACATCGTCCACTCAGACGTTCCTGCAGTTCTCTTACGAGAACTCCCCTCCCCACACACCTCGTCACCTGTCTTTTTCCGCCCTATGGACCTCTGCCACAACGTTGTGCACATAACATAGTGCACACAGTATTCCTAACCTCTTGATCTGCTGCACAGTTGCCTGCACCAGGTTACACACCCTTCATCCACCTGTCCCTCCTCAACGTCATGCAAAAAGGAACTAAGTACTTCCTCCAGCAAGCCATCCTGTTGGCCCGTACCTTCCTCATCAGACGTCGATGTCGTCTGTCCCTTATCAACTGTTAGTGGTACACTTTCCTCCATAGTCGCCTCAGCCCTATCCACTTCGCACTTCCATCGCAAGGAACTTGTTTGCCTTACTCCTACCTCCGAACACCCCCAATCATTCCTCGATGTAAGATCACTGTACCTGTTCCCTCCGTCCAGCTTTTTATAGCATTGGGCCGCCATATGTTCAAAAGAACCACATAATCTGCAAGTCTTTTCGCTGCCTGAGTAGTAACACGTAGACCTGCGTTCGGAAGACCTCCATAAATACGTATGATGGAATCGGCTGCCTCAACGTCATTTTAAGCGTAAATGATCCTTTCAGGTAGCCCTCATAAGGTCCATTTGCCACACCCCCATCACGCTGAGTGTGATTTTCCCATAGCATTAAACACCGCCGTCACATCATGCTCCGTTGCCTCAAAAGGCACGTTTTCGTGCCTCACCCACGTCACATAACTGGACACATCATGTTAAGCAGACTTCCACCAAGTGTTCACTGCCATCCTCTTCTCTTGATATTTGTGACTATGCTTGTGTAGAATCCTGCGTCTTTAAACTTGATGAAAATTCTCGACACACCATTTACTGCTACTCCATATAATTCTTCGGTCGGTATTCCATATACCTCACTGATGATGGAATGCAGTAACACGTGCATGGTTGTTCCTGTAAGCGTGCCACGCACCAGTTCCACACAAACAGTGCTCACCCGGCGTGCAAAGCGATCCGCCATGTTGTATGCACAAAACAGGAAAACTGCGCAGTAAACCAGTTGTATCAGGAGCTACTGCGCAGCCTGTCCGCACGGCACAATAGCGATGCGAACAATGAAAAACGTAGAATTAGGGGGGATATGATTGAGGTGTATAAATGGAAGACAGGAATAAATAAAGGGGATGTAAATAGTGTGCTGAAAATATCTAGCCTAGACAGGACTCGCAGCAATGGTTTTAAGTTGGAAAAATTCAGATTCAGGAAGGATATAGGAAAGTACTGGTTTGGTAATAGAGTTGTGGATGAGTGGAACAAACTCCCAAGTACTGTTATAGAGGCCAGAACGTTGTGTAGCTTTAAAAATAGGTTGGATAAATACATGAGTGGATGTGGGTGGGTGTGAGTTAGACCTGATAGCTTGTGCTACCAGGTCGGTTGCCGTGTTCCTCCCTTAAGTCAATGTGACCTGACCTGACTAGGTTGGGTGCATTGGCTTAAGCCGGTAGGAGACTTGGACCTGCCTCGCATGGGCCAGTAGGCCTTCTGCAGTGTTCCTTCGTTCTTATGTTCTTATGTTCTTATAATGGATTGGCTGATGATCTTTAATGAGTGGCTGTTAATGTCTAGTGAGTGACTGGCGATGCCAAGTGGGTGACTAGCGATACCTAGTGGGTAACTAGCGATACCTAGTTGGTGACTGGCGATGCCTAGTGGTAACTAGCGATACCTAGTGGGTGACTAGCGATACCTAGTGGGTGACTGGCGATGCCTAGTGGGTCTCTAAAGTTCAGTAGATGTGTAATCGGGGTTTAACGATGTATAGCTGGTGCTGGTGATGTCTAGTAGATGTCCCTGGATGTCTAGGTTGTGTCTGGTGATGTCTAGTCAGTTTCGTGCGATATGTATTACATAATCGGTCAAACTGAGGGAGAACTTAGTAATAAATAATGTTTGGGGATACCTAGTGGCTGTTAGTAGGTACTATATTTAGTCATTTTAAGTTAGCAGTAATGTTTAGATGGTGTTAGATGAAATTTAGTGGATATTTTGTGCTGTTTAATATGTGTTTACTAATGTTTACTATGTTTTTCTTAATATTTGGCTACTGTCTAGTGAATACTTGGTTATGTTTAATTGGTGTTTGGTGAGAGTATATTTTTATATCTGCTGATCTATTTATGGTAATGTTTAGTGAGTATTTGGCGATATAAAAGGTGGCTGGTGATGTAATGCATGTTTAGTGAATGTTTGATAGTACCGAACAAGTGTTTAATAGTTTCTCAATGTTTAGTGTTGTATAATTTGGTTTTAGGAAATTCAATGAGCGTTTGATAATAATCAGCAGTAACTATAGCGATCATTTGATACTTCTATGTATTAAGTAAATTGTTGGTGAGTACAGATATTTAAATGTTTTTTCGATGTTCATTGAGTTGTTTAGTAGATAAATGATAATTTTTTTTATTAAGTGCTTGTGTTTTAATAGTGTGCTGCGATATTCTCTGATTTCATTAATATTTAGATTGTGTGAGAGATACAGAATTAACGTTAAACAATTGTTTTTTAAATAATTTTCTTTATAGTTTAAAGTGGCTCCGTTACTATGGTATACTGGAACACATCAAGGCCAGGTACTACCGCCCTCGTTGTTATTCCACTAAGGATGCTAAGAAAAACAATGAAGGGTCGAAGAAGATGGACCTTGGGAAGATGCAAGCCTCCTTCTACATCCTGGGTCTGGGCTTGTGCCTTGGCTTCCTCAACTTTCTGGCAGAGTTGCTCCTGTTTTTCTTCAAACGCTGTTGTGGTAGAGAGTAGCTGAGGTAGGAACAAAGTGTGTTAATTGGTAGGTTTGTCTGGCGGTGGTTGGGGGGGTTAAGGTGGTGGTGAGGATGACTCACGAAATCGTAATGACACGATTGTAAACAAACCATACCACGGGTGGGGATAGAACCCGCGATCAGAGAGTCTCAAAACTCCAGACCGTCGCGTTAGCCACTGGGCCAGCTAGCCACAATAAGATTCCTGTGGTGTAGAAATATACCTAGCTGCATGAATCTTATTGTGGCTAGCTGGTCCAGTGGCTAACGCGACGGTCTGGAGTTTTGAGACTGATCGCTGGTTCTATCCCCGCCCGTGGTATGGTTTGGTGGTTGGGGTGGTGATTTTCTTGTTGGTGGGGGAGGTGGTGTTGGTAGTGGTGGTGGTAGTGATGTTCTTGGTGGTGGTAGGAGTGATGACGGGGTGGTTGTTGTGGTGAGGGGGCAGGTAGTAGGTATGATGTTTTTATATTTGTTAATTATTATTAGATTATTTAGTATCATTATAAACATGTCTCACACACATGAAAAATGAAAGATAAATAGGTTTCACTAAAGGTAAGATAGCTCCAGTACCTTGGATTAAAAACCCTTCATATCTGCCTCACCTGAGAAGAGTGTTGGTGTAGCATCTTCGTAATGTATATCATCCGCATCTTCTCATCCTGTAGATGAAGATGCTGATGAAGATGAAGGAGACTTCTTACGTTCATTGAATGGTGCCCCAAACTAGTGCCAGCTGTTCTGGCAGTAGTTTTTGGTATCCATTGTTAGTTACACTGGGAAAGATGAGCCTAAATATTACCAGCTACAATGAGAATAATATTCCCAACTTGTACCATCGGCACTGATAATATACCTGTATCTACGCAGCCACTGTGACACCCAGCTACTGTACAGTGATCTCCTCTAACATTAAGTGTGCTTACCCAATCTAAGCTAATGGAAAACGGAAGACGTGTAGTGAGTTCGAAGGTTAGATGTCTCTACACTTCTTGTTACGTTATTGCCGCTCACGAAGTAAGGAGAAACACTCTGAAAGTGACATCCATAATAAACAGTATATGAAATGCAAAATGGGCCTCGAGTTTAGTTTGCATTTGCTGGGTTCATCTATCATATCATCATTCACTCCATCACTGTCTTATCAGAGGAGTGTCTACAACACAGTAAAAAAAACTGCAATATACCAACACCACTCCTTCAGAGTGCAGGAACTGTACTTCCCACCTCCAGGACTCATGTCCAGCTAACCGGTTTCCCTGAATCCCTTCATCCAGGTTACTTTGCTCACACTCCAATAGCATATCAAGTAATAAAAATCATCTGTCTCGAGTCACTCCTATCTAACCCACTTACGCATACATACTGGAAGTCCAAGCTCCTCGCACGCACACAAAACCTTTACCCCCTCCCTCCAGCCATTCCTAGGAGAACCCCTACTGCCTTCCTTCCATTACAGATTTATATGCAGCCCAAGTCATTCTACTTTGTTCCATCTTTTCTAAATGTCCAAACGATCTTATGTTCAAACGACCTCCTTTCTTATGTTATTCCTTACTAAGGTGTCGGAATGATAGGTGTCCCGTAGCTCGATCGTTAACGCACTTAGTTCACACACTGAGGTCCGGAATTCGAATCTCCGGTACGGCTGGAAAACATAAGGACGTGGTTCCACAAGACAATTGTTGACCTTGTTCACCCATCAGTATTAAATGGTTAACCTGGATGTTAGTCAATTGGTGTGGGTCGCATCCTGGGATAAACCTGACCTACTTTTCCCGAAATGCTCTGCATAACAAGGAGCTTTCTATATAGTAGTATGTCACTGATGTCAGCTAGGCCTGTATACCTTGTACATGTACTTGAAGACATAAATATATTCTTATTATTATATTATTAGTCTTGGGTTTGCCAGGCGCCCATATACCGCAGTAATTATTTGGTTGATGTGCCCCTCAGGAGATATGCTCGGTATTATACTCACCCCAAGATCCTTTTCCCTGAGTAAGGTTTACAGTTTTTGGCCCCCGTAGCCTGTACTCTGTCTACGGTGTTCTTTACCCATCCCTGATCTTCATGACTTTGCACCTGGTGGGGTTAAATTCCAGCAGGCAGTTGCTGGACCAGGCTTGCAACCTGTTCAGGTTCCCTTTGTAGTCCTGTCTGATCCTCATCCGATTGAATTCTCCTCATTATGTTCGCATCATCTGTAAACACTTCCGAGTCTATGCGTGTATATGTGTACTCACCTATTTGTGGTTGCAAGGGTCGAGACTCAGCTCCTGGCCCCGCCTCTTCACTGATCGCTACTAGGTCTTCTCTCTCCCTGCTCCATGAGCTTTATCATACCTCGTCTTAAAGCTATATATGGTTCCTGCCTCCACTGTGTGTGTGTGTGTGTGTGTGTGTGTGTGTGTGTGTGTGTGTGTGTGTGTGTGTGTGTGTGTGTGTGTGTGTGTGTGTGTGTGTGTGTGTGTGTGAGTGTGTGTGTGTGTATGTGTTAGTGCGCCTGTAATAATTTCATACATCTGCATAAAGAAAAACATTAACACGTACTAATGACAGGTTATTTTAACAGAGAATAATCTCTCTCTCTCTCTCTCTCTCTCTCTCTCTCTCTCTCTCTCTCTCTCTCTCTCTCTCTCTCTCTCTCTCTCTCTCTCTGTACATCTGCAGTGAATTTAATCCTTATTTTGGCCATTATAATATAATCGAACAGATGTCACCAGTTAATTGCAGCTGCAATGAACATAGTATAGCCCAGAGGCTTTCATTTCAGCCATCGCAGGCAGACCTTCACTCGTAATCACGGTATGGAGGTGGTTCACGCACAGCTGAAGCTTCACTAGCAGTGCTCGAGACAACATTGACCAGAAGACGAACAACGAATGTTTGCATGTCAAAAATAGTAATTACAATATTTAAACAAACTTGTTTGTTTGTAGGTGAGACAAATTATCTTGATCGGTCTGCTGAAACACCCGAGGTATTAAGACCTGCTGATATACCTGGGGTATTAAGGACGCAAATTTCAGGTATCTTCACTTCACTTTCATATAGGAGTAAATGTAAAGATTTGCCATATATAAAAAAAGAACAACACACATATCCACATATACACACATATACACCTAGAGTTTGCTATTATTCTTGGCTAGTGTTGAACATATACGCAACATTAATTTCCCTCATGTAAGCGATGGACTTTAAACCCAATTACAGTCCAATCAAGCTTCGCCACTCCGTTTAAATATTCAGTGAATTAGAGCCTAAGCACTTCTTTTTAATATCTTTAATAAAAATTCAGCAGAAAATGGTCTTAACTTGTAAATAAAATATTAAACACTTTAATTGGCCACTTGTCTAAGAAACAGTTTTATGACGGTGAGGTCAGACAGTGTTGACATCTGTGCTGCTGTTAGTGATCGAAGCAGTTTACTTGACTCTTCCCACCAGTATACACCACCTGCCATCACTGCCCTCTCTTGAAACCTTTTAAACTACAACATGGCCTCCTTCCATAGTCTTGACAGGTCGTCACTGGAACTAAAGGCAGAAGACGCTGCTAGTAGTCCAGATATTAAGAATTCAGAAATTGTCAGCGATTGCAATACGGAAATTGCCAATGAATTTAACTGTTATAAAAATACAAAATACGGTGACTATCGAGAGGGCAGTGATGGGACAGTGAGTGATGAGTCTAACGACACAGTATTTGATGTGCCACTATGTAGTGAAGGAGCAGTCGGTTACGTTTTGTCTGACCAAGTCGATGTAACAAAGTGTTGTGAACAAAACGTTTGTGACTTTATGTATGATCCAACACGTGAAGTAACAGAAGGTAACGAGGAATCGTGTGACCTTATAAACGACCCAGTATGGTATGTACTGGAGAATTGTGAGGAATCGAGTGACGACTCCAGTGAGCCACTTTGGTATATATCAGAAGACAGTAATGCAGACAGTGACCTATCTAAGGACGTATGTAATTACCTATTCAGTGACTTGTCAAGTGACCTATCTAGTGAACTGTCAAGTGAACAATCCAGTGACCCATCCTGTAAAACAGAATGTGGCTCTCCTAATAAAGCTGAACCTACCTCCATAATTAAAGAGCGTTTTAAGAAGACTTTTGTAGGAGAGGACACAGAGAAATATCTTCATCTCTGTGATTATTCTGAAGATGCTAGAGGGAGCATGTGCAATAGTAGTAATGGGAGTGTCGGCGAGACTGTAAGTGGGAGTCTACGGGACTACAGCACTTTTAATGGCGGTGATGGCCAGTACAGCTTTACCAGCCATAGTTTCCATCGGTATGATTGCATTATTGACGAGAAGCGCTTGCAATATAGCAGCGACGATAACGAAACCATAGACCACCTTAATTGTTATGCGTACGGGTACAGCAGTCATGGCTGTACTGTTAAATACGACCGTGACAGCTTTAACCGCGAAGGCTATGACCGTGACTGCTTTAACCGCGAAGGCTATGACCGTGACGGCTTTAACCGCGAAGGCTATGACCGTGACGGCTTTAACCGCGAAGCTATGACCGTGACGGCTTTAAACCGCGAAGGCTATGACCGTGACGGCTTTAACCGCGAAGGCTATGACCGTGACGGCTTTAACCGCGAAGGCTATGACCGTGACGGCTTTAACCGCGAAGGCTATGACCGTGACGGCTTTAACCGCGAAGGCTATGACCGTGACGGCTTTAACCGCGAAGGCTATGACCGTGACGGCTTTAACCGCGAAGGCTATGACCGTGACGGCTTTAACCGCGAAGGCTATGACCGTGACGGCTTTAACCGCGAAGGCTATGACCGTGACGGCTTTAACCACGAAGGCTATGACTGTGACGGCTTTAACCGCGAGGGCTACAACTTACTCGGACTCGAGCGAAGTGATTATGACGCCGATGGTTACGATGCATATGGTTACGACCGTTATGGTCTTGATCGTGAAGGTCGCAATAGATATGGATATAAACTCCAAGATTATGACGAAAACGGCCTTGATAAGTTTGGTTATAACGCTGATGGATTTTATATGATGCCCAGAATCTATCAGAATTCTGAGGATACACGAACTACCAGCAGAAACTTTGTAAGAAAATTAACACAAGCTGTGGAGGCTGCCAGAATTTCTTCTCGTGAGGCAGTGCTTGCTGCAATACAGGCTCTGGCCTCGCTGTCTGTGGCTAGAGCAAAGGAGCAAGTTAAACGGGATCACGGAACGTAATTTGTTGCTACTACACGTTGCTAAGTGAGACTGCAGTGTGTAAGTTAATGTTACCTTATTTTTTTGACATTTTATACTAAATGCTTTTCACGGAACGGTGATGTATGGAATTTTCTTTACCACTGTTATGTTGGTTCTGCATCTGTTTGGAAGTCTTTTTTTTTTTCTCTTTAGCGGTATATAGCTAAATATTTAAACTAGAGTAATGGACCGTAGTTTTAAGGTGACTGAAATACCGTATCTAATTGTATTCAAGCATTTGGTTAAGAGTTCTGTTTTCTCTTCCAGATTTTGTATTAAATCTAAAGGATGAGTAAACGTGCAGACTGTAGGCTACGAAGGTCGTGCATGTTACCCCTTGGTCAACATTTGTGAAAAATGACCTTCTGATAACACTTCCGAAGAAATGACCACCTCTGGACACGAGTGCAGGGATGATATCCCCTCCCTTTCCATTACTTTTGGAGGTATGACCTGCCTATGTCATCACCCTCTGAATTAAACTGGAGTAGGATGAGCTGCCTTCACCTGGTAAAACGTTCATTGGATAATCTTGCCCTGTCGCCCCTCCTCGACCTCTTCACTTCGTCTGGTAACTAGGGGGAGATGCTGTCTTCCCCTCACCATCTGGCAACATTTAGGAGGGGTAGGCTGTCCCCTCCAACCTACCCACCTCCAACAAACTTTCTTTAATCGCCTGTTTAGTTAAGTTTATTGCCTAAAATTTCACTTTATTCTAACTTCTTAATCAACCGTTTTGGTGTAAAGGAATATTTTTTTTCTTGCATTAGCGGCTTTGGTTCTTACTTTTAGTAAATATTCTTAAGAGTTGCATGAAAGTACGAAAGCAAATTATCCCTAAGGATAAAATTTTTTTAGTTTTCTCATACTGATCTATGTCCTTTTAATATCCTCGCAAACTGCGTAGCCTAAATTATTAGTGTTCACAGCATCGTTAAACTAATTTCATTTAGAAAAGTTTATAAATGAAGTAACTTTGTATATTCAACATTGTACTGGCTTCGCAGTTTAGATGCTCGTCACGTATTTTTATTTTGGGGGAGGGGGGGGGGTTAGGACTGCAACAATTCGGCATAATGAGTTTAATGCTCATGTTGCCATATATTTTTTATCAATTTTCAAGTCTCATGATAAACGGCTTTTGGAAAGTTTGACGCCTATTTTTAATGCAACTTTTAAATACTGTATATTCAGACTATCGTAAGTCTTTTTAAAAGTTTATTAATATTGTATTACAAAATTTGACGTGTGGTATTTTATGAAGTTTAAAACAAATTATTGCATGTTACAAATTTTATTTACAAAGTGTTTGACACTTTGTATAAAGTTTCTATTGCTTTCCTGCTCTAGTAACTTGTTAAAATGTTTAATCATGTACAAAGTTTCACCTATTCATGATTCTTCACTATGAATGTACAAAGCTGCTCGTGTGATTTCAGTTAATATGTAAATAGCCGCAAAGAAATGAGTTTTTAAACCTCTCTAATAATCTGGTCTGGTAATTTTTTTTACTAAAGGGTACATTTAAGCTCAAGGATCTGTTTCTTTCTGTGGGAAGAAATTTAGGAGACTGATTATGGAAGACGGAAATTGTGAAGGTCCCAGAAGTGGGGGAAACTCTTGTAATAGAAGAGTTTCCTAAATATCTAGAGCTTGAACGAAGTAATTTATGTAAGTTATTAAGGTTAATTTCTCAATATTGGTTCACCAGTATTCCACTCCAGATCATTATGCTCGTACATAATGTATATTCATTATATTCCTGGACAGACTCTTTCACTCAAGACTATGGCGAAGAGCTGTGCCATCCTAAAGTTTTAAAGTGGCTAGTTTCTACGCTAATGCCTCGTGTCTTGTCCATGTGAGGTAGAAATGTAGACTATTTAACAGTGGTTAAGGTCTCTAGATCAGCCAAGTAATAATACTGCTCTTATCTTTAAACCCAATTAATGAAAATGTTAAGTCATCCTGGGAAAAAACACCTCGATGCTGTCAAAAGTAATGAACCATTACCTAACCTTGAGCTATGGTGCTGAGCCTGAAGTGTTTTATCACCCCGGCCAGGTCAGGACCTGATACTTCGGGAAGATAGTTAACATAGCCTGTTCACCTGTTCTTTCCGGGTCAGTTATTATTGGCTGAGAGACTACTCGACACGCTACTAGAGTCGACCCCGGACAGTATCGTGAAGCTCGTCTCAGATTCTCGGTGTCATCATTGTACTGTGCATTGCGTAGGGTAAGAGGTGGTGCCCAGGTAAATGCAATACCTGGTCACAGCATTCCCTCAGGGAAGGTTATCTGTTGACAGTGAGGGACTTTGCGAAGAAACTCGTCCTTTCTTTAAGTAGAGCCCGATTGCCCTCCATTTCTCCTTCGCTGGCTGTATGGCCCTTGTGGTTTAGCGCTTCTTTATTATAATCCTCCTTGCTGTTTGACCTTAAGAGTTCAACACTGCATTTTTTACCCTAAAATTAAGGGGGAAAGGAGAGCGTCTCAGTACTTAGGACTCCCACTTATCGAATCTACACCTAGCCCACCCCACCCTCCCAGTTCCTTCCTGTCTGACCTTTTAGAAACTCGTGAATTCCAGATCCTAGCTTGGAGGAAGAAAGATTTTGGTCAATTACATTTTATGTAGGACATGTGTGGTATTGTTGGCTGTTGAAAGTGAATAATTTATGGACGTGCTGAGCTGTACTTTTATTTTCTAGTGGGGAGGCCTTGTGTCTCCTTAGTTAAAGTACCAGAGGAGGCTTCCTGTCAGTTTAGAGAGGTGATGGCTAAAGGCGACACGGCTCTTCACGGGTTTCCAATAGTCAATCTCTTCAGCCGAAGTGGCTCGGCTGATGCAAAATGTGCAATCCTCGATTGCTGGTTTACTGGCATGAAGAGCAGAGTGGGGGTTTCTATGTATCGATAGCACTACCAGTCGTGCCGAGGGTACTTCTGAATGTGGAGGAGTTAGTCTGCTTGCATTTAACCGATCCTTCAACATCCCCCCCCCCCTTTTCATAAAACAAAAACTTGTACCATCATAATCACGATTTCTCCCCCCCCCTCTTTCTCTCTCTCCCTCCTTCGTCACCCTTGGCTCCTCGCAGCCTAGTTCCTGTGCCGAAGCTATGGCTGAGCCTTTTAGTACCCCTAATCTTTGCTAACTTTCACCATGATACCCGCTTCTCCCATATTGGAGTCTTTCGGTATGGTCACTATTTCAAGGACGCTCCTGTACGAAATTCTTTTATTTTAACTGTACAAACTGATTGCCTCAAACCATAGCATTACCCAAAAAAAAAAAAAAAAAATTGAGGAATGTTGGACAGTTTACTATTATGTTATTGATGTCTGGATGCTGCTCCACACTATCAGCTTTTTTTTTTTTTTTTGAGGGTTCATTGTGGTAGAGGCTTTTGGAATGAGGAATTGGACCTTTCGGTCTTCATCCTCGCTTAACCTTGTTACCCCCTCCCCATCCCCCCCTCCTCCACATCCCTCCCTTCCCATTCCTACTTTCTTCTTCAGCAGGAAGGGCACTCCTTGGTGTGCCAAACCTAATTACCCCCAAATTCCTCCTTCCCTATCCCTTTGCCTATGCCTTTGAGGTTGTTACCTTAGGCTTTGTAGATCCTAGACCTGAGAAGTGGTTCCAGGGTCCATCTCCTTCCGATGAGGTCCTTGGTGGTGGTGGTGTAGTTTGCCCTGGAATCTGGATCGTCTGAAGATCCCGATCCCTCTCTAGTCTACCGGGGAGGGGGGATGGAAGGCTTCGGTTGTCTTTCAGGTAATGCCTGTCTGATTCCGGGAGGTGGTGGCCGGAGGAGGTATGCTTTGTGGCGGGTTTCCGACCGCCCGACCGCCCCCCCCCCCTCCCTTTTGTCCACAGAGGTGGCTCGGTCGATGTGAGGTTGCTATCCCGGATTGCTGGTTTACTGGCTTGATGGGTAGGGTATGCCACAGGTTCAATGCCGCATCTGCACTACCGGCTGCAGTCCTTTCATCCTGGGAGCTGCCTCTCCACACTTCCCCCCCCCCCCCTCCCCAACCATGGAGGTCAGTCCCTGAACCTCCTCCTGGGGCCCATTCCTGTAGCAGCACCCTCTGAGGACTCTACCTTGTTACTGGACCATTCTTCGGACCTTTCTACTGCTCCTGTATCTTCTGTGGGTGACATTTTTGTCCCACGCTCATGATACAAAGGCTCGGCCTTAATTCTTTGACATCTCTGACCTTTGCTTCCGGCTTCTCCCCATATGGTGCGACGGTTTTCGGTTCGCGTGCCCACCTCAAACGGACCACTTACGGTCCTGTATCTAAACGACCACAGCCTCCTCCTGATGACACTTTCGACTGACTCATTCTACTTAGGAAAGACCGACACGACAATCACTTTATATACTACGTATCATAGTATACAATGGACGAAGTTTTTTTCACTCTACAACCATCTTCAGAATATCTTTCTGATCATAGTATCAGCAAGGCGTTCCTTCACATGTTGGTCGTAATATTCCATTACATGCTCTCAAGAGCGGTGCACATCGTCACAGTACAGACTGCTAGCCAAGCGTCCTTACAACCGTAGATGCCACTCCTGTGACAATTGAAAATCCTCTAAATTCTTGCAGTGATACTGTCATTCTTCCACATACTGTTGTTCAACATAATTTCCAGACATGTGGTGATGACATTCTGGAGCAGCTTGAGCTTCAAGACCTACCGATCCTTAAAGTAGACACGTATATAATACTGCTGCCCGCCGGCGGAGACGCTACCCCTGCAATGTATCTCAACTTTTAACTGCTGTGAGCTTCCATCTTTGGTTAATATTGTGGGACACAGTTTCCAAGTCCGACAGGTGACCCATACACCACAACAGTAGACAGTGCAGGTCCATGGCTGAATACCCAGTCTGTGGTGCCGATGACCATACCAATATATCTTGTGGTCTACCTCCCTTCTGCCTCAATTGTCGTGAAGCTCGTCCATCTTATTCTCGTTGCCAGGTTTACTTGAACGAACGTGAAATTCGTTGTTTCAGAGACGGAAGGTTTTATTTACGCTATGGCAGTCTGTCATCTATGCCTCCAGGGGAGACTTCCCGCATTTCTTTTTCTCGACTTCCTAGAGACTCCCAACCTCAAGTCCCAATTCTCGCCGTCTCCTGCAATCGCACCTTCTACAGTCGCCTCTGTATCTTAACTCTTTGGCAGTCCTGGATTCCTAGGTCGCTACCTCGTCGCCTCCTACTATTCTCCAATCTTCACCTAGCATGACAAGCTTCTATGTCTACAACACCTTCCACAACAGCTCCTCCCCCTCGCCTCTACTTCTTCAAAATCCAACAAATCCCCACGGGGCAAGTCTCTAATTTCCACCTCTTCAAGGGGGGCTCCTTGGCGTGGTGAAGAGGCTCTTGGTCTGAGGAATTAGACCTATCGGTCTTCTTCCTCAGACCGAACCTAATTACCCCCCAATCTCCCCTCCCCTATCCCATCCTCCCCATCCTCCCCTTTTTCCTTTCCTCCTCCTCCTCCCCACTCCTCCCTTTTGCCCTTCCTCTTTTTGTCCTTTGGGATTTCTCCCACAGGCGCGCTAGTTCCTGGGTAGGAGAAAGGATACCGGGGTCCATCCCATTCCGTTGAGGTTCTTAGCGGTGGCGTAGTTTGCCGTGGAATCTGATCGCCTGGGATGTCCCCCATCCCTCTCCGGTATCCCGGAGTAGCTTTGGGTGTCTTTCGGGCGACGAGTGTATCTCTGGAAGCCACCTTTCGGATTCCGGGGTGGTGGCCGAAGGAGGTATGCTTTGTGGCGGATATCCGGCCGCCCCTCCTTTTGTCCACCGAGGTACTCGGCAGATGTGAGGTTGCTATCCCGGATTGTTATTTACTAGCATGATGGGTAGGTATGGCACGGGTTCCATGCGCATCTGCGCTACTTGCGGTGCTGAGGTCCTCTTGGGCGCGAGGGGGATTTCGGCCCTTTCTTTCCTCCTGGGAACTATCCTCCCCGGCCCCCTTTTTTTTCTTTTTATTATTTTCTTTTTTCTTTTTTTTTTCTTTA